AAAAAAATCAGCGCTGTTGAACTGCCCGAACTCGCGATTTCCTTTTTCATGCTTCGCCAGCTGAAGTTGGACATTTTGACCCTGTGATATTAGTCACGTCATTTGGTGTGAACTTCCAAGCGTCATGTCTTCCCAAATAAAACCCCCATGACCTCCATATTGCAGGTATTGCTTTTTCTATAGAACCTCAACCTGCAAAATGTTTTTGAAGAAAATTGGAAAAAAAATTATTTTTGCCATCCGCCGCAAAAAGGCTTTTTTTCTCGAATTTTAGTGTCAAGCTCTCTTAATTACTGAATCGTACTCTCGCAAAATCTCTGGTTCCTTTCTAAGCTTTTTGAACTTTCTTTTCATGCGTGACAAACTCAACTCGTAATTGCTGTCTAGAACGTCGCTCCCTTCCTTCCAAGGAAACTTTATGGAATACCTGTTTCCTGTGAAACAGATGTTATGTACAAGTTCCTCGTACACGCCGTCATTCTCTGCAATACCTAACGTTTCTAAATCTCAAAGAACCTGAACATCTCCCTCTATTCTGCCTGAAACTGATTGCACTATCTCCTCCTACAAAATTCACACTGACTGCTCGCTCCTTATCTACTGACTGATTGTACTTTAAAGGGCCAGAAATAACGCATCCTGACGGGGTTTCTACTGCTACTGGCTCACCTACCCCTCCCCGGACACCATTTCCTGTCTGAAAATTCCACATGTAATCTGCTCCTATCAGAACATCTATTTCTAACTGCTCTTTGTGTCGGCAAACATCAGACAGCCTTATGTTTTTTAGATGAGGATAGCTCTCACGCGTAATTTCAAGATGCTCGTTCGGGACAGTCGAAATTTTGCGAACGACAAAGGCTTTTATGAATAACACGTTCCCTCCAACTGCTAGGGTCAAATGCACTCAAGCCCAATTACCTCCCTGAGGTTGGAAGTCATTACTCTCTGCCCAAAGGTGTTGACAGAGAGCTACTCTTTCTGACGGGTTTCTAAGCTTAACTCTTTGGTTACGCGCGAGTTTACAAATGACGTATGGCTAGCGCTATCAAAAGGCTGTCTCATTCGTGCGTTTCCTTTCCCTGCTACTTGGGCTTGCGCCGTTTGTAAAGCAACCCTACCTCTCGTCTCAATATGCATACTGTTACCAACTGACTCTGCATTACTATGGTTTACAGCGGTTTCAGATGATCTACCTTCCCCTGGTTTGTCGGCACAACAAAGACACGAATGATGCTTACCCTTAAAGAACTTGCAATTAACGACAATCTTACAGTCTTTAGCAACATGTCCCTTTCTAATACAATTAAAACATCTACCATATTTCAATAACATTCGTTTTTGTTCGCTGACTTGGGTGACTTTCTTAGTAGTAGTAGTAGTAACAATTTTTATTAGGAAGCTCCATCACTAAAAGTGGTTTACATAGAGGTCCTAATACTAGA